AGAGGGAGAAGCAGGCTTCCCGCGGAGCAGGGAGCCCGATGCGGGGCTTGATCCCAGGACCCTGGGATCATGACCTGAGCCCAAGGCAGATGCTTAACGACTGAGCCACCCAGGCATACCGGTCATGATGATTTTTAAAAGCTCCCCCGTGGTCCCAGTGAGCAGCCATGGTTGAGAACCACTGCCCTAGATTATGTCCCAGTCCCTTCCATCTCTGAGATTCTACGATTCAAAATTTTCCGATGAAATTCATCAGAAAGTATTAGAGGAGAGCTTTAATTTGCACGCAGTGCATGCTCATTGTAATTTTGGCTAACTTGGATTTAAGAGGAGGGTCTGCTGAACTTGGAGAAAAATATTTTTTCATCAAGGTGCAAGTGACCTGTAGCCTGTGGTGCTTTGCTGCGGGTAGAGAAGCAAGCCCAGGCCATTGAGAGTACTTTGGAGAGAATTAGAAAGGAATCCAGTCTTGCTTGTCCTTTATTAAGTGTCAGTGTGCTAGGTGATATTTCTTCCCTTTCTCCTTATTGGTAAAATAAAAAAGATCTCTTTATCCCTTACTTTAATGTCTTCTTTGCCATGTGTTTATTCTCTTCAAGTATCTTATCAAGAAATAGAAGTACAGTAAATCCCTAGGCTTCTGGCCGGCACAGCCCTCCGAACACAGCTGGGAATGTGGAAGTAAGCAGAAAAGCTGCATGATGGAAACAGCTGTCATAAAGCCCGTGCATTCTACTTGGAGACAAGGCCTTTGGGAATTTATCATCAGCAATCAATGACTGAATAGCTCTTCTATCAAGAGCAAAATGCTAGGTGCTCGGGATTCAAAGGTTTAAAATGAGTCAGGCTTTTGAGGTGCTTGTGTTCAAATCCGGTGGGCGGTAAGAAGATAGAACGGTTATCCGGCTTCCCAGTCCCTGGCCGATGAGAAGTGGCCAGTAGTGCTGGTTGGGGAGTGGAGGGGTCCCAGGGGGGGATGGTTTTAGAGGCAGGCAAGACTTGACATCTGGGAAAAGTGAGAGTGAAACAGGGTGGGGGTGAGGGTGGCCAGAAGCTGAGCCGGTGGACCCAGGACTTGCTGATCTTGGCAGCACCTTTCAGTTCCTTGAGCCCCTCTAGGATGGGGCGAATGCTCAGAGGCAGCTCCCTAACCCCTGAGGGCACTAGAATGTTTCAGGGCAGTATTAAATAATAGTGTTTGGTATCATTAAATAGATAGAGCGTAGACTTTAGAAAGAGTAGACCTGTTTGAAATCCAAACTTGCTTTTGAAAGGGAGGAAGGTTCAGTTCACTTACACATTCACCCTTAGGGCAGGGCACCTCGTTTACCAGTGCTGGATCGATAAGGAGTCAAATTCTGTGTGTCACTTTGTCCTTTTCTTAAAAAAAAAACAACTAAAGGCTGTATATTATTAATTCAGTGGCTTATTCACTTCAGAGCTTTTGGTTGGTGATCTCGCTCCTGCACACCTTCTCTTCTAAGTCCTCTGGGACATCCGAGTTCCATTTGGTTCCTTAATAATGTTACTGCCTGCCATGCTCTGCTTGGGACACAGGCATTCTGACCTGAAGTCACAAGAGGCAAGAGCTGGGTTTTGGTTAGAGGGGACAGGTTTAAATATTTGAATATTGATTTCCCTCTTAAACATTTACCAAGCTGAGTAAATGGATAATGATAATTAAAGAAGCATTAGAAGTTAAGGAGTACACACATTGCATAGTCCTTGTCTTTGACCATGTGCCTTATTTGAACCTTAAAAAAAAGAAGCCCTTCTTTGCCCCATCATGCCTGATCTGAGGCCACATATCTCCAGTTTCTGTCGCACTGCAGGTGTTCGAGCCATGTTGGTGGTTCGAAGATAAGTTCGAGCGTGCTTTTTGACTCTTGGGTATTTTGAATATTTCTATTTGTCCCTTTTCAGTGAACTTATGTGAAGCTATTTGTTTGAAAATTTCTGCATTCAGTTCTCGACGCCTAAATAAGATAGGGCAAAAGGCAGAATCCTCTTTTCAAACCTACAACGGAGCGTTACTTCTTGCTTGGAGGTGGGAGCGGAGTACTTCATGTGGTTTGCTTTAATCCTGGTGGACAGATGGTTGCTTCTTGTGCTGTCTATTCCAGACGTTAAGAGGAACTCCGCTGTACCTGCAAACGTGCTTTTAGAAAAGGGAGGCTGATTTTGCTCCTGTTCCTCGCTTCCAGCCAGAATGAAGCTGGGGGCAGGTCCCGGGCCAGCTTGGTGTTTTTGTCTCGTCTACCTCAAGGTCACCTGGCCTCACTTCATCCCAGCCATCCTTTTCATTCTAGTTCGTTCTTCTCCCAGCTACTCTGTCTGTCGGCTTTTGCAAGCCTCTTTAAGCCTGGCTTCTTCTGTGCGGGGCTTCTGGGCTAGACTGCAAAGTGGTGGCTTTTGGACTTCAGAACTTTCCTTCATTCTCCAAAACCTTGACGTGGGCATCCCAGCGAGCCCTAAGCCACAGGACTTTCTTGTTTTTTTTACTCTCCAGTTATTGTTTCTGTCCTACCACAGAGTTTGTCTCCATTTGCATTTTCAGCCTGGTGTTTGGTTAGAGACGAAAACAAAGCACCAAAGCACCAGACTGCAGTGTAAAGCGTGTGGGTAACAGTTACTACTTGCAAGGTCCAGTCTGAGTGGGAGTATCATTTTTCTTGGCAGTCACTTCACAGAAAGTCCTGCTTCTTTGGTGCCAGAATAAGCAGTCATTACATTCCTTACAATTTATAGTCAAATTATTATCTGCTATTGTTAAAATTGCCTTAATTATAGAATATTTCCCCATGCTAAGATTCTAAATTGCAAAACAAGACAACTTTGGGTTGTGCTTTGGGAAACCATGCTGCAAAATCACTCCCTGGCCTAGGATGTTGGAGGCTCTGAGGAGGAATGGTGTTTTGTGTTGATGGGGAGAATTTTTTTTTTTTTTTTTAGGGGAAGAGTGCAGGGGGCTCGCTTTAGACTGAATTTGAACCGAAGACCCCCGGTTGGCTGCTTGGTTACTGTTCTGCCTCGTTTTTTTCCCCAGTTTGGAACTAATTTTTTCTTTTTCCTGCCCCTTCAGGTCCGATGGGCCTAGGCACTCTGGGAAGAAGGCTCTGCTGATTGATCATTAAGCAGTGTGGCAATCTTAGAAGATGGCCTTGTATCTCTCCAGTTGGAGGGCAAATGAGGAAGTCACAGCCTTCCAAAATAAGGGACTGTGTTCCTGTGATCTGAACAGTCAGGAGACGGGGTGGAAAGTGGCTTCTGTGGAAACACTCTTCCATAAGCTCTACGTTTGGGCACTGCTTTCAGGATGTATCCAGAACCTGTCCTCCTCTTACTGCCTGGGCGCCTACTGTCCTGGCCTCCTTTCCCATCCCCTCTTCCCCTGCCCAGTCTGTCTCAGCACATCAGTCAGTGCTATCCTTTTCTGTGAACCCTGATTCAGACCATGTCATTTCTCTGCTCAGAACCCTCCAGGGGCTCCCCTTGCCATCCGGAGTGACAGCCAAAGCTTATGAGGCCTTATGGGGTCTGTCCACGGCCCCCTCCCATGCCAGTCCACACTCTCTTCTCTTCTGTCATTCCCCCCAACTCCCCCCAGTCCCCCCTCCAACATGCTGGTCTCTCTGTTCCTTTGCCCTTATCCTCGGCACCTAGAATAGATAGCAGCATGGCTCACTCCCTCAAATGTTTTGGGGCTTTGCTTACCTATTCCCTCAACTGAGAAGCCTTTCCTGACCTCTGTGTAAAGTTGAACCCCCCCTCCCCCCCCCCCGCCCAACACGCTTTGTCCCTCTCCCTCTCTGCTTTATTCTTTGCAATTACAGTTGTGATAACTATTTCCAAGGAGAAGCCCTTGGTCTTGGGGATGATGATCAGGGTGAAGCATAGTTTTCTTCAGCATTTATCCCTGTAGGGCTCTTCTCATCTCCCAGGAGTAGTGCTTTTGGACATCGTCACGAGGGCCCTGCTAGATATGGCCAGGGTCTTGTTTCTGTCATTGGGTCCCGAGGAGAATTCTGGAGTACTTGGTGGAGCAGTGCAGGGGAGATGGTCTAAGTTAGTGAGGCTTACATGGAGCACTCTTCTCTGGTAATAAATCTCAGCCATCATTTTAGGGATTGGGATTACATGGGCACCCCAAAATGCAAAGTGAACTCTTACGTCCTTTTTTTTCTGTTTTTGGAGTGGTCTGCAGAGGAACCACCCAGTACTGGGAGTACTACTAAAGCCTTCAGGTTTCTGGGGGAAAGTTTGGCGTCCACTTTTATGCCCATAGAGACTGAAGAAATAATAGGTTTTTTTGAATGATGAGTGGTTCCAAATGAAGCCCTCTGGTCCAGCAGTGATTGTTACAGAACTCTGGTTTGGCAAAGTATGGACCAGATGCGCCCTCCCCAAGCCTGTATTAATGGTGACCAAGTATGCAGAGGTTGTCCAGTGGGGAGGAAGGAGCTGGCTTGGGAAGCAAGTGTCCAGGGAGATAGGATTGTAAGCAAATACAGCCCCAGCAGTAAATTTGAGGAAGGAGCATCCCTGCCATGCACCTCAGCTCTGAGAACAGGGCTTTCTCCATTTCAAGAAAGATGGGTTTTCAGATTACTTTTTTTTTTTTTTTTTTAAGTAGGCTCCACACCCAGCATGGAGCCCAACGCGAGGCTTGAACTCACGACCCTGAGATCAAGACCTGAGCTGAGATCAAGAGTCGGATGCTTAACCAACTGAGCCAACCAGGCGCCTCTCAGATTACTTGTTTTTAAAATCGAAATATGGGCGCCTGGGTGGCTCAGTTGGTTAGGCGACTGCCTTCGGCTCAGGTCATGATCCTGGAGTCCCTGGATCGAGTCCCGCATCG